GAACCCATAATGTTTTCGAATGAGTTCCGCTGGAGATGGTTATTGACAAGATACAAGATCGTTTTAGAGATCGTGCCAATTGGACGCGGATAAAAAAATAATTCTATTTTACCGTAAAAAGGCAGCGGAAGCGACGGGGCACATATCAAGACGCTTTACCGGATAACGTTAAAAAAAATAACATATATATACTTATATACATGAAGATACGATTTACCGAAGAATGTCGAAATATTCGTTCGTATCTGCCGACTGTACGGGCGGCTTAAGTAATTACAGGTAATAAAAACAGAAAATCGTCTCCTGACTAGAAACTTGCGTGGTCGAGCTGCAGGAGCTGGAAGGAGTATTCAGTGGCAGTATAAGAATGACGAATCGATTGTCACTTAGAATCCATGCGCCTCAGCAGATGTTCATCTTGGACAGTGAATTAAGGCACTGTTAAACGCTATTAAGATATTCGGTAGAAGTCGGGACCACGTCCGCAGACTACGCCAAGCGAATCCACGCAATGTGCGTTCTTTTGATTATCAAAAGACCAAGGCACTCTTCGATCGCGTAGCCAGGTTCTCGTCTGCGATTCAATCCGATATAGCCAGAAGGTCAAAAACTTCGATAGAACGAAATTGAAAAAGGAGGCTGTTCAGTGATCCTCGCCTTGCTGGAAATGACCGTTTCGATTTAGCGGTTGCCTTTCTGGAGCGTCGGAAGGCCTATTCCTCTTAAAGAATCCGCACTGTAAATTATAGACAAGATTAATCAATCAATTGTTTATCCACGTCTCAAGCATTAATATCAACACTGAGGACTGAATAAATTTAGCAAATTTAAATATCACTAGATATTTGGATCAATATTTCTCCACAAAACAATTAAAAAAAAATTTTTAATTATTTATTTTTGTTTTATAATGCACGCATTACTAACCTTATGAAGCAAGTAGATGAGCAGCAAGAGGATTATCATTCCTGCGCAGGCCGACAGAACTACCACCCACACTGGAATGATGTCCGGAGCGGAAGGTGGTGCGCTAGGTTCAATGTTCGTGATAACTTCGTCACTTCTGATGACTTGTTCGGCTGGCGTACCGATGAACGGTTGCTTCGTAACACGCGCCACCAGCTTAGTCGACACTTTCACCTTCTCCGTAAAGGCTACCTCTTTCAAAGTTCTAGCGTCCACGCGATACCTCGCGCCGATCCAGACCTCTTGATCTTTCTTTAATGGACCCAGCACACATCGCAGCATCACGCATTTTGCTGCGTCACAGGGTCGTACTGGTTGATCCTGCGATTCAGGATCGTTCTCATAATAATCTTCATTCTGAAACGCAGCTTCATTGGATAAGAAGTCGTCCGTCTCGAGATCTCGCCGATACCTGTGCAGTCGCTCGAATTTCTTGAACTCTTGAACGTCGATCATGTCACTTTCGCGTCTGTGCCTCGGACCTAGAAGGTCGGAGTCCGATCTCTCGGTAGAGAACTCATCGTTAAATCGATCACGATGAAATCGATCATCTTTTCCGTAGACTTTGGTATTGCCTGTTCGCTCTTCC